TTCGGGCAGAGCGGAGTGCCGACGAGTGTTGGTCGGTTACGTAAACGCTTCAAGTTCGTGCGAGCTCGCCGCTCGAGCGTACTGATACAGCGCCGGGCTCCCGGTGGTCAGCGTTAATCACTGGCGTGTCGATGATTAACGTTCGTCAAGTGACGCGATGTTCTTTGAAGTGACCGGAGTCATTTGTCCGCGTGATCGCCTAAATCTGCCGCGCCTGGACCCGGATATCGGCGGCCTCGTGTTCGTTCATTATCATCGGGTCGTCACAAAATGTAGGGCATATCTTCCAGGAAACCCTTCCAGACGGTATAACCTTTTTAAAACTGGCCTAAATGACTTGCATTTTTTTTTTTGATGACGGAAGGACTAGCTTATTACACAATGACTGTGTTCGGAATTTTAATTAGTTATGGGAATAATGTAATAATTTCACTTCGCACTATCAATTTTCGATTAATAGTTTTATTGATTAAGGAAGGCATGGAATACGTTTTTTCTTTGTGAGATGTCCGAGCTAACACGATTCAACTCCATAGAACAATAGAAAATCGGGAAAGGGAAAATACATTGTCGCACACACACACATGTCTTCGCGATTAAATCATATCATGTTATAATAATAATAATAATAATAATCGATTTTCGCGATATTTAATTGTTTGTAACTCACAAGGACGTGAACCAATTCGGATGCAATTTTCAGCATACATTTGTCCCCGACTGTACTTCACGCGTTTTATGCAGCTTCTGTTCTAATATTCGTAGGAAACTCCTTTTGCGAGTCAGAGCTTCGCTATCGAGTGATTAACAACTGAAAATTGACTATTAGCCGATCGAACCGCGTCATGTGTACGTATATGCACTGTCACGAAGAGGCCAGTGTCCCCCACTAGGGTTATCACAGCAGCGCCAAGGAAAACGTATCGGTCCAGGTCGTTGCCCTCTGCTTTTCAACGGTTCCGAAATTATGGAGCAATCTTTCGACAAGAAGGGGAAAGATGACATGAAAAGTATTTTTGTCACGAACACGACGTAAAAATAGCAGAAGGCCATTTTATTTTTATTATTTTTTTTATTAGTTTTTTGATATTTTGGAAAGTGCATTTCTCATTGGGAACGATGTGGAAAAAGGTAAGACTGTTTTACATCGCATCTATGCGACAATAATGCAACAATAATGCAACAATAATGCAACAATAACTCCAGGAAAGTTTCGAGATCTTACTAAAAATTGTACTTCCACTGTCGAAAACATGCAATCACGTTCGACTGCTGTGCTTGGTACGATTGAATCCTCCTTCGACTGTTATGCTTCTATGCAGTCCCGAAATTTTCGCTTGCCATTAATGCACAAAGTTCGTTGCATTAAGTTTCGGTGCTTTCTTGGCGAGACGAAGTATCTGTATCTGTCTAAACTTGAGGGCTGAAACAGAGAAAACCTTTCTCTGTGGCAATTTTTGGCCGACCTGCGGTATCGCGAATTAACTTGCTCGCACATTCATCCGCAAGAACCGAGGAAACAATACGCTGTAACCGCGAACGATCCGCGCATTACAATATTCTAATGACATACGCGCGCATCGTGCCGCGTACCGGTGACTCGCGGAGCGCGGCGCATTGAAATTCAGTGCACTGAATTCCAATGTCATTTTGCAATACTCGTTTCACAACAAAACTGCATACAAATCGCGGTAAACTGTCAGAGGGATCGCTGACAGGCTGCCTCGGATGCATAAATTACTGAGATAAAAAGAACCGACAGCGAGACGCTGGAATCGACTTCGATGAGTCGATCCGTCGCGTTATCGATGATATTTGTAACGCTCGATCTTCGTTTAGTCTACGAATCGTTTAGGGCACGTTACGATCGTTTAGGGCAACTTACATGCGCCAAGGTCGCTGTCTTGAACTTGCTTCGACTACGTAATCGATCATCTTTAACTTCTTATTTTTATCTTTATTGCTGCTTTATTGCCACATCTGCTTGAAAAATAAGTTCGAGACACGAGGTTTGGCGTATTCGAAACTTAAAAAGCACGAAGCGAATGTCATAACGAGAAAGGAACAACTGCGCGGCACATTTTCACGCGGTAATTTACAGCCTCTCTTATCTGGAGGTTTACTTTTGCGATGTCCTGAAAACATTCTATTATCTGAAATCTTCATTCAAGTTCTCTGCTAGACGGTAAATAATTGCATGATTAGATAATAGAATGTTTTGATGCGGAAATATTGTAAAAATATAAAGGTTCGGATAAGGAAAAGATCGATTGTTTTAAATGACAGTAGCGATAGCGACACTGAATAATATTTACTTTTGTTTTACGAAATACCATAGAGTTATCTGTTCGCTAAGCTGCGCGGAACTAACGTGCATTTCTAAAACGTACACTAGCTTTTACTTGCAATTACTTGTATGTACTTGCGGGCTCTATTCACACGATTTTCATTCGCGTAAAGCAGATGCACGCGGGAACAGAAATTCGCGTAAACTGAGAGACGGGTGTAATTTCTGTCGTTGTAATAAATATCGTTGATGGGGCATTATGAGTTTCCGCGTCGTCTGTCCCGGTTCGGTCGAGTGCGCCACTTCGGGAACCAAGAGAATTCAGTAAAAGTCCTCGGAGACAAAGTTCCGGAACTCTCTTAATGCTGAAAAATTGCACAGCGTCTTAAAGAAAATTTGAGGAAGAAGTTCGAAGAGAGCCCGTCTTCTCTCCACTCGTTATATCTGTGTATAACGGCTAACAGCTCGTTGACATTCTCTCCGCGAACCATATTCAGCGTTGTCCTCCACCCCCGGACGGTCGTAGAAATCATTTAAAAAACTTATAATTATCGCTAGACTGCGTATAGTTCGACGCGCCGCCCCCTTGCGTAGCCTACACAATGCCCGCAATCTAACTAAACTTCGTTAAACTCCGTTAAAAATTCTATTAAATCCCGAGCAGCGTAAAAACTCTCGTTAAATTTCGACAAATATTTTACTGCCCGCGGCTTCGAATAGCCTGCAACCATCAAAGTTTTGCGGCTGTTTGTTTAATCAAATGGAACGCAAGATTTGTCATAATCCTAGACAACATTTTTCGCTCTGACAAGCCGTTGATCGTTGTGTACTTTCGCGATATTCATGGGGAACTAGGGCCTATTTGTGGCTATAATCTCTGTGAATTTGCAGCAGGAGTTCTCTACTGCAACGTGGTAAATACTCTGAGAGCATTCGTTCGTGTATCCATTCATAATGTACTCAATACTCTCAGTGTGTTAAGTCGTATATTCATTCACAGTGTAATAAGTACTCTCAGTGCATTCAATCATGTATCCATTGTCAATTTATAAATTCTCTCAGTATATTCGTTCACTTAACCACTGTCAGTGTATTAAATACTTTGAGTGTATTCTGTTATATATCAATTCTGAGTGTACTAAATACTCTCAGTGCATTCATTCATGTGTCCATTGCCAATTTATAAATACTTTTAGTGTATTCTTATCCATTTTCTCAGTGTACTAAATACTTTCAGTGTATTTTAATACGTATCAATCCTGAGTGTGCTAAATACTCTCAGTGCATTCAATCATGTATCCATTGCTAATTTGTAAATACTCTCAGTGAATTCATTCACTTATCCACTCTCAGTGTACTAAATACTTTGAGTGTATTCTATTATGTATCAATCCTGAGTGTACTAAATACTCTCAGTGCATTCATTCATGTATCCATTGCTAATTTGTAAATACTCTCAGTGAATTCATTCACTTATCCACTCTCAGTGTACTAAATACTTTGAGTGTATTCTATTATGTATCAATTCTGAGTGTACTAAATACTCTCAGTGCATTCATTCATGTATCCATTGCTAATTTGTAAATACTCTCAGTGAATTCATTCACTTATCCACTCTCAGTGTACTAAATACTTTGAGTGTATTCTATTATGTATCAATTCTGAGTGTACTAAATACTCTCAGTGCATTCATTCATGTATCCATTGCTAATTTGTAAATACTCTCAGTGAATTCATTCACTTATCCACTCTCAGTGTACTAAATACTTTGAATGTATTTTATTATGTATCAATCCTGAGTGTACTAAATAGCCTCAGTGCATTCGTTCATGTATCCATTGCCAATATATAAATACTCCCAGTATATTTATTCACTTATCCATTCGCAGTGTACTAAATTACTTCCACTGTATACTATTACATATCAATTCTGAATGTAACTAAATACTCTCGGCGCATTCATCCATGCATCCATTACCAATACATAAATACTCTCACTGTATTCGTTCACTTATCCACTCTCAGTGTACTAAATACTTCGTGTATTCTATTACATATCAATTCCAAGTGTAACTGAACACTCCCCAGTGTATTTACAAAGAACATTAGTCTGTGCCTACACTTGCCGTCGATTTACAGCGAGAGCACTTACGTCCATTCACGTACTTATTATCAATGTATTAAATACCCTCGATGCATTCATTCGCGTATCGATCCTCAACACACTAAATACTCGGTCCATTCACGAAGTACCCCTATTCGCGCCGAAACTTGTCGTTGCCCCGGCAAGAGTTCTCTTCAATGCTCTCTGATCACCGCGTGCCCAAGTTGCCAATCGAATCAGAAAATCGCGACGAGCAAAGTTCAATGTGCCACAAGAAGCTGAGCAGTGACGACTGCTCGGTATCGCCTCTGCTGTCACCCAGAATTATCCTATCCATATTTCCTCGTTCGTGATCGTGCGCGTTGGTTCGCGTCGGAAAGTCGTTCGGTAGAGACGAAAGAAGCAAACGCTGCGGTAGTTCCGAGCAGAGGTAAGATCGGCGACCAGCGGCCCGTTAAAACGGTGCAATAATCGGTGCACGAAAAATATGGGGCTCGCGTAGTGGGGGCGTGCACGCGTGTCCAATATGAACGAGGAACCCGTGAGATTCGCGAGAGGTGCCCGGGCTCGTGCCGATTGTTATCCGTGGAGCGTGTCGACGATAAGATGACGTCTGCGGTCTGGGGGCTTCTCGTTAGAGTATAAATAATGCCCGGCGCCCGTGTAGACCGCGACACTTCGATTCTGCCTGGCACGCTCCGTATCGCAGATTCACGGAGTCATATACATAGTGCGAAGTGATCCATCGAGTGGACGATCTACGAAACCGACCCGCAGGTCAGTGCCGGCGTCGACGACGATATTTCACGTGTGCTCGAAGTGGACAGTGCGGAATATTCGCAAAACGGTTCCCCGTAATCTCGGTGACGCTGCGGGATCCCATTTCCGTATGGATCGCGGCTGTTGCAGTGACGTCGCTTAGCCCGGCATCGCGCGAGAGGCGTCCAGTGAACGAAGGTCCGAGGAGAGACCGTCTTCGAGAGCTGGTCGAGTGAAAGTTCCCTCGTGCGATATGATCGTGCGCGAGCGAATAAATCGAGGAGAGCTCTCCGCGTCTTGCTCGCGCATAAAAAACGATAACTCGTTTTCCGCTCTCATTCCGCCCAGTGATATTACGCTCCCGGCACGCATAAAATGCCCATGCATCACGGCCCGTCACCGATCCATCCGCACCGAAATAAACGGAATCATTAATCCCGGCGGGGTCGATTTGTCAAATGATTGAGCCCCGCGCGTTCCGGCGCTTCCGCTGCGTTTCGAGGCGTCGCGCCCCGGCAATTAGTCATCGTTAGAAGAATTGTTTCAAAGCGTCGGAGCGGATTCGATCGCGTAATTAGACCCCGGGAACGTCGTTTGTTCTCGATCTCACTCGGCTAAGCTATCTTCCGTTGGATGTTTACGCGCGATAACAGACCGACTCGCCACTTCGGCTCGCCCTGTCGATCCTATTTTCTGCCGGCGATTGATCCGCTATCGATCGTTTCAGTCGCGAGCTGCGCGATCGCGCTGTTTAAATTTTTTGCCGAAATGTCCCAGGACATTTGAACGCCATGGGCAACTGACGATGCAATCACAGACTGTCAAAGAAGCGCGCTCTAGTTTATCGACGCTCGTACATCGCGTAGCTGTTGTTTTTTAAATGTAAATAATACAACTCGCATGTTTTGTATTTCATTGTTGACTTCTCAATGATTTTTGTTGCACAGAACTCGAGATATCTACGAATTAATAATACGCGTATTAAGGCAAGCGCTATCGCGCTGTTCGGCATTTTTCGACCGCGTTTTCTCAATGTCCCATGGGACTCAAACGATTAAAATTCTATCTAATCGCGAGTGTCTATCTGCTGCGAATAACAACATTTCACAACATCCAGTGAGATTCACGAGGCTTTGCACCCAGTCTCCCGGTGACGCTGCATTATTTGTTTGGATTTCAAAATGAATTTCTATTCAGTGCACCGGGGCCAATTGCGATCCTCGGAATGCAATTGAGCGACTGCGCGAGAAAGTGCACGGACAGTATGCATAGGAGACAGTAAAAAAGTTGGTGCGGGGTTGAAAAGGTTCCGAAAATTATCGACTCAAACTGTCGGCTCGATTGTTGCTGGAACAGTTGCGAAGAACTGAAAATATCTCGTAACTGTTTTTTAATTCCTTTAAAAGAAAAGAAAGAAAATTATCTGCACGAATTGCAGCAAACACTCAGAAAAGTTTGTCTTCCTTTAAGAATTTCAGTAAGTTCTGTCGTCTAATTCTTTTAATATCTTCGTTATTTTAAATATCACCTACCAATTTTTCTCCCGAATGCATAAAATCCGCGGTCCAAGTATAGCAACCGATACCATAACCGTATCCAACAGCTGTTTCTGCGCAGCATCCGGCAATTGCCGCAGGAAACGTTAAAAAGATCCCCGGTCCAATCAGCCGTCCGAACTTTTCAAATTTCGTTAACTTCGCAGAACTTTTGACGGATGGAAGCGCGCGGTTCGACTTTCACCGCTCGTCTCGTACGACGCTTGCGAAATCCGTGACGCAACGTGCGTCGGGTCGTTGACTCGAAATAAGCAGAGCAGTTCGTAAAAAGAGGCAGTAAACGATAAACTGTTTCAAGGACCGTGGTGCACGGCGAGACAGATTAGATATTTCAGAAGTTTCATTGGACGAAGGTCGAATCGATTGCCGGCAGACCGGTGACGCGCTCGTGGCCGTAACAAGGTAGCACCCACTTTCCCACACTGTCATTCACACGTTTTGGTTGCCCGATCGGGAACGATCCCCTGAAATTTTCTAACGAACGCCACGCTCCGCTGCTATCGGCGAAACTACGAATGCGCAAACATCCGGAATCCACCGTCAGCAAACCGCGTGCCGTTCCCAGCGGCCGATAACGCACGCAATATCAATACAATACCAATCTTCAATCGCACGCACGCGAAATAAATTAATTGGCGAATCCCTTGTTGGAGCGCGAGCTCGCGCGCGAATCACGAGCACAGCGACCGCGCCCTGTTTAATTAACATTCCCGGCTAAATTCCGAAAAATTCCGTTCACGATTTCTAGAACAGGATCCAACGTAGAAAACGCATTGTGACCGCCGTTGTTACAGATTTAGAGATCGGACGCTTGGTCGATCATTGGGCAATCTCCCACAGAAATGAAATATCTTCGAGAGATCATTATTATTGTCCTATGGCCCCACCTTCAAGTATTCTCGCTGATCCAGGATACGCGATCGATTCCCGCGGGACGTGTTCTAAGTTTCCTTAACCGTTTGCGTACCAGATGGTTCTGAAAAAACAGGATCGAAAAGCGCCGAAGAGCGCAATAGCGCTCCTTCGATTATGTGTCGAAAAAAGCCGAAAAGCGCAATAGCGCTCCTTCGATTATGTGTCGAAAAAAGCCGAAAAGCGCAATAGCGCTCCTTCGATTATGTGTCGAAATAAGCCGAAAAGCGCAATAGCGCTCCTTCGATTATGCGTCGAAAATCTGAAAACATAAAATAAAACACTATGAATGAAAAAATATATACTATTAATTTAGAATAGGTAACAACAAAATGCAAATTGGGTTACTGACAGCGATGCGACGCGTGACGTATACATGCGTCTGAAAGACTGAGCACGTTTCGACAAATTTCGGATGAGCCGTAAGTCGTCTGTTTCGGCCAAGTGCACTGGCTTTTCTCGACACAAAATCTGAAGAGCGCTAAAGTGGCTCGTGGTACGCAAACGGTTAAAATATCGTCGGGTCCGACGGAAACGTGTCCACGCGGGGTCGAAGATCGCGATGGTGAAAAAAAAGAGAAAGAGATCGACCTTCGTGATCCATTAGGACTCTAATTGAAACAGCGCTGTCCGGGCGCGAGAAACTCGAACGGTAGGGGTTCGACGGTAGTCTTAAAGGGGAGGGAAAGGCGAGGGAAAGGCGAGGATGGGTGCGGGGGCCGGTGGAACCGGGTTGAAATGCGGCGGGATCGACGGAGGAAGGAGAGAACGAAAAAGGGGGAGAAGCGTGATAAATCTCGCCGCGAACAATAAGTTACCGTAAAGAATCGTTTCCGCGTTGGCTGACGCGCCGGGAAGAACAATGATTTGTCGGGGAAATTCTCCAATTCCAATTCCAATTTCAGAAATGGCCCTGGAGACACCGTCATGGCTGAACATCGACTTCGCCGAGAGGATAATGCGTTTGGCGGAGCAGGACAACACGGTGCAGGTGACCGATGTATTTCAGAAGGCGGCGACCAACAAGGGCGACAACTACACCAGCGATATGATGAGGGTGACCATCGAGTTCAGTCGCAAGCAGGGCGATGAGAGGGTCAACGAGAAGAGGTCCCTCATCTTCAAGTTTGAGCCGATGGTCGAGGGAGCGCGCAGAGACATGGTAAGTCGTTCGCCTCGATTATATAGGGCGCCTTGAAAATGTTGCAAGCTCTTGCAGTGGCCCTCAGATTATTTCAAGTAATCTTTACCGCAGCGAAAATATCCTCCGCGGATTTCTTAACGAGTTATTTGGCGAGAAACGCGGACCAATCGGAAAGCGAGTGCCGAAATGCGTCAAGTGTGCTGGTCCTTTGATCAAAATAACGCTATCTCAGAATTTTAGTGACCAGCAGTTTCTTCGTTAATCCCGTTGTAACAACGAGTCATATTCGTGACAATGATTACAATCCATTAGGATCTCTTAATTTGATTAAAATTCGCGAAAGATGATAATGTTGAAGTAGCAATTGAAGTCATATAACTTTGCTTCGCAATTTTCATTTAATTGAATAAAATACTTCGTGATCGTATTCGATGATTGTTCGGTGCATTATGTACGTGATAACAGTGTTAAGTTATCACGTTATCTATCGAATGCCTATTAATACAATAGAATTTTCAATTATTATGTCATACCGAGCGGAATCTAAACAATATTCGATTATAATCCTAAATGAACTTATTAGACGCTAAATTATAAATTTTCGACAATTGTGAACTGGTTGTCGGTGGATAATGCGTTTATATTATCGTATTAATGTCATAATGTTAATGTTAATCTTATTAACGTTATAACATCATTTTCGTATTCTTCCGCAACAAGCAATAGCCTGGCAAACATGAATTAACATATTTGTGCTGCGCGAAAGCGTTTGCGAACCTTGGTCCGACTACGTAGCCTTAATCTACTGTACACCGGTTTCGATAACGCATTTTTATACTTCCATGAATTTAACACTAAACCTACAGCGGTCAAAGTGATCGCTTTCTTATTTTGCAATTCTGCAAAGTTTCGAGACTCTTTCGTGGAAAACGCTTGAATAAGTTATATTATTGGAGCAAGTCTTATAATAAAAACTTTACAAATCCCAAATAAATTCGGTCTTCTCACTTTTCTGAAGCAGTACATGCCAGTTAGTATTACTGCTTGGTAGGTTTAGTGTTAACCGAGACGAGATATAGCTTTAAGTTAATAATGATTATAAATTGAATTATAATAATAATGATTGATAAATTGAATAAGTTATATTATTGGAGTAAGTTTTATAACAAAGACTTTACAAATTCCAAATAAATTCGGTCTTCTCACTCTTGTGAAGCAATACATGGCACTTAGTATTACTGTTTGGTAGGTTTAGCGTTAACCGAGACGAGATATAGCTTTACGATAACTCGTACCGGCAACTTGTCGGCCTGACTTCAGATCGAGAAAACGCAACTGTTCGACGTGGAGATCATCATGATGACGGACACCGTGAAGAAGATGTCGGACATGTTGGGCTATGATCATCGTCTGTCCGCTGAAATCTATCACGTGAGAATGGAACGACCGGTGTGCTTGGTAATGGAGGACTTAGGAGCTATCGGCTTCCGGATGGCCGACCGTCAGGCCGGTCTTGACCTGGAACACTCCACGCTGGCAATCCGAGGATTGGGCAGGTTTCACGCTGCCTCGGTCGCTTTGTGCGAAAAGGTGAGCACCATTGATTAATTCTTCGAGGCCTGCGAGTTCCAAAATTCGTGGGTACCCGATATCTAATATTGCGAGCGATTGAGAGAGGTCTTGCAAGAAACGGATTTGATCTAATCTCATGCGTAAAAAAATGCAGTTTGAATTTAATGCGGTGAGTAAGAAATAGATTCGATCTAATGCTATGAATAAGAAATGAGTTTGATCTAGTGTTGTAAATATGAAATGAATTCGATCTAATATTACGAGTAAGAAATAGATTTCATCAAACGTTGTGAATAAGAAATGGATTTGGTTGATCGATGCGGAGGAAGAAACGGTTTTAACCTAGTACATTGCGAATAAGAAATGGATCAGATCTGCAAAATTAAGATGATCAGATGAATCGGATGCCTTCGTATCAGTTCTGATGAAGGCATAATCGATGTAATAGAATTCAGCAACAACCAGCGAAGGAAGAATTCCGCTTCGATTTTCGCCGAAATTTTTGGCTAAGAGGTCCAGTTCAAATCCTAGTTATCCCAAGTCTCTAGAACCTCCGAAGGCCAGGAACTGATCGTCCTAATCCCCAAGTTAAGCCAAGATAATCCGAAAATTCTAATACCTCCTAGATACAGAGTTACTATACCGAATTCCCGGTTTACGTTGAGATGGTCGAAGGAATGCTCGCCGCAGGAACTTCCCTCGTGCTCAATTATCATTTTTATCTCGATTCGAACGCCGACAATTATCGTTTCCGATGCTCGTTTCATTGCAGGAACCTAAGCAAAAGACGAAATACTATAGAGGTATGTTCAGCAAGGAGTATCCAGAAGAAATGTCATCGTTCTTCACGGCCGGCTGCAAGGCGCTGGCGGAGGAAATAGAAACGTGGCCCGAGCTTGAAAAGAGGTGAGCCTAACACCCTGTGCATTCGATATTTCACAGCCACGTGGCCATTTAGAGTTTCTACGAAAATTTCTTACGAACACTCGGACAAACTAATATTCATTGTCAGAGTGTAAATATTGTTATTTGACTATCTAGTTTGTCACAGTCCACCTAAATTTTTACACACGTCTGATACGCGTGCCTCGTAAAGTATGTTAAAAGAATTCTTGAAAAGCTAGCCAAAAATTAGGGTCGCCCACATCTACGTTCAACGTGTTAATTGCGGAGACGCTGAAATGTCTGTTCGATTCTCAGATACGCAGACAAATTGAGACGCTTGTCCGATCGAATCTACGATCTGGGCGCCGCGTCTACGAAACGACGAGGCGACGAGTTCGCTGTGATCAACCACGGCGATTTCTGGGTGAACAACATGCTGTTCAAATACGACCAGAACTCGAAGCCTATACAGCACATTTTCGTAAGTGTTGCGATCTATGTTAACTTTCGACATAGCCATATTTACGTGTTACAACTTTCAGTAATTATATTTAGAAAATTCATTCGATGTTCTTCGCGTGAAATAGAAAATCGTGGTCGCGACATGTGCGCGAGGCTGCTGGTGGCGATCGTGTTAATCGCATTGAAACATTAATTATGACTTCGATGCGACAGACAGCAGTTCGACTATCGGCAGTTCGACTATCGGCAGTTCGATAGAAAATTACGAAACCCGATTAATGGACTCACGGCCACGAAGCGAAACGTTGATATCAATCCGAGTCCCGTTCGCGAAAGAGAAAGAGTCGCTTGAAAAAAAGGAGCGTTTCGACTGGCGGGGACGTCGCGCGCTATGAATAATGCAATAAATCCGATTCGATCGCGTTTAGGTACATTCCGCACCTGTCGGTGCGCCGTGGTAAAGAGCGGGAAACGACGAATCACGGTTCAGGAAGAGGTAGCGCGCACGAGAGAGCGAAAGGGTGAGAGAGAGAGAGAGAGAGAGAGAGGGATAGATAGATAGATAGATAGAGAGATAGAGAGAGAGAGGGAGAGGGAGACCGAGGGAGATAGAGGAAGCAAGCAAGCAAGCAAGCAAACCCTCCACACCCGACGGCTTCCTAAACACGAATCCCTCTTCTTTCGCTCGCGCAGATTTCATTTACAATTCAATTGAGTGCCGGCGCCGATCGATCGAGCTTCGATTTACGTTCCAGGTGGATTTCCAAGTGTCCATTTACACGACGCCGGCAGTCGATCTGCAATACTTCCTCAACACCAGCCTGTCGGATGATGTCTATCTGAACCATATGGACGCGCTGTTAGCCGACTACCTGCACACGCTGACGAGCACCATGAAGCAGCTGAAATGTAAAACCCCGCCGCCCACCATCGACGACATCAAGAAATGCATGAAGGAGCGTGCGATCTACGGGCTGATCTCGTCGGTGACCGTTCTGCCTGTTTTGCTGCTGGACAAGTCCCAGGCCAAGGATATCGACGAGATGGTGCTCAAGGACGGCCAGTACGACAACCCCGGGTACAGAAATCCGATCTACAGGCAGGTGATGACCAAGAGGATCCCCATGTTCGACGAGATGGGCCTGCTCGATCTCTAGGCTTCCCGATGGATCGGTCGATCGATTCAGAACTCCGCGACGAGAACGCGAGTCTCGAGTCTACAGGCTGTGGAATCGTATCAAATAGCTGCTGGGGGGTTGCACCGATGCACCACCGGTTCGGTGCATCTAAGGAGATTGCACGCCATATAACGATTACTTTTATTCCTTCGTTCGACTATAGGCTCGCGATTTGCTCGACGCTTTGAGTGCCGTCTCTGCAGTATTAAATATGTCGCCTCGATTGCGTCCAGTTCTCGAGGACGTCAGTCGAGTCGGCAGTCAAAGTGTTGATCGACGCGACGCTCGGTGCTAGGACATTCGTTTCTCTGATTCTGAAGCATGAATCGGAGCGTTGATAAGAGGGCTGGATGATGATGATGATGATGATGGATGGTGGTGATGATACTGGTGTGCCGAGATATTCGTAAATGTGAAAGTACAAATCGACGTGTTTTTGTTTTTTTAGGTGGAATTACACCGCGCCGATATATTATCGCGCGCGGTGCTGACAATGTTTAGCGCGGTGTTTCCGTTCCGATGGCAGAGACACCAACGTAACCAGAGGAAAATTTTTAATTCTCGCGGCGACCGTCTGTCAGACGTTATTGACGCGCCGGGTAACGAGTTCCTGCTTTGACCCCGTTCGCCCGGCATTACCATAAAAATTGACCGACGGCCCCGCGCGAACCACGTTCGGAGCACGCGGAAATTGTTTCATGTTTAATACCGAGAAAAAAAGCCAATAAAAACAAAGGGCCGATATTTCGCGCGACGTTCAATCCCCGGACACTGCCCGATCCGCGAAGGTAAGCAACGTTCACTCTTCATTATTTCCATATTCGTTCGTTTTCGTAGCGGCCGCGCGCCTTTTTCGGAAATTGCGGCGCCATAAAATCAGAATCCGCCGAGAATCTTTTAACGTCGAACAATGGTTTTAATCCTTTATGCATGGAAACAAAGCTTCGCTTTCATTCGTATGCATGCATCGCACCGGAATTAACCGTTCGGCACTGCGAAGAACAATCCTTTGTCATTAGTGAATTCCTAGACGAGGAAGAAAATTTATGTGCGACTTAATTATGTTAATCACATTTGTATTTAATGAACAACATTATTTTCATGTCGGCTCGACGGAGCCGCGCACCGTCTATATTTGATGAATTATGTTCGTAATTTTCATAACGAGTCTGACGTGTTCCGGCGCAAGGGTTAAAGGATATAGTAGATTTCCGTGTAACGCGATAATGCGTTTCGCGTTGTGCGAATTCGTGTTATCTGAAATCGTGTGTCGCATGAGAATTTTCCTCTGTTAACACAAGTAATAATCCTATTCTGTATGAACGAAACAACTTGTTCCATATAAATACAACGAAAGAAATAAACTAACAAATTCCTTATGCAGTTGTGATCTGTTACATGAAATTGGAGAAAAACGTTCTTCGCGTTGATCGGTGATGATTTACAACTTCATTGTCGTACAAAGGTAAGACAATTTATATTCATCTTCTGCCTGCATTAATTCCAATGTTCAGTTATTGGTAACAGACAAATTATAAGGTATTACTAAGGTATTATTTCGACTTAAAAGACATAATCATCAGTCAATATATTATATCAGTATAATATAATCTGAAACGCGATATTATAGTTCTACATATGAATCATTGTCCGAATCGTAAAAGTTTCCGTTGGAAACTGTTCGTTTCACTGTAATTAACTGTTCGTTTTCTGCAGACATTAGTTTCATTATATAGTGCGTTGCACGAGATATCACGTTACAAGAATACGGTGGCCGCCAAAATTTCGGCCTTTCATCGAAATTCGTGTTACATTGAAGTCTACGGTAACTAATTCCAGAATTTACTATCAACACACACACACACACACACACACACACACACACACACACACACGGTGGTTTAATTGAATTAATTATTGAATTAATTCAATTAAACTCGTTGAAACGAATTATTTATTGAATTAATTTAATTAAATTCATTGACACGAATTAATTATTGTGTTCTAATCATAGCACGAACGTTCTTTCCGGACCAACGCACACAAGGGTTAATGATTTCCAACATTTCCCAGAGGCCGATTTAGAAGCTCTCTTCGCCTCTCATCTTGCCGCCCGCCGTGATACGCTGATTTTGCTTTCGAATAGGCCGTCGAGAGATTTAGTTCATCGGTTCGGGACGCAGCGATTTTTCCAAGGCCATTCAAAGTCGTAACTCCGGTCGAACAGAGAACCGGTCATCAACTATCTACGGACCAGCCGACCCAGTTCCTATCTGCCTCAATTCCAGTTATAGTTTTTCAATCCGCTTAATCTATAGCCGACGAGAACTTGTTCGGTACAGTTGTTTTTTTTTTTCGTCCACGTTTGTCGGCCTCCGCTCGCAGCAATATTTCCGGGGGCGCGTTTAACGAGAATCCTCTTTCTCCGGCGAGCGTAATGCGGCTGAATGAATAATTGAATATCGTTCTCGCGTAACAAAATTCAACACGCGGCGAGAGCATTTCGTATGCGGGGACCTAATATTTTCCCTCTGATTTAATTCGCCGGCCCGTTTAATCAACCCCAGTGGCTTTTTTCCGGGCCGAGGCACGGCACGGCCCGGCCCGGCCCGGCGCGGCCCGGCTCGGCTCGGCTACGACGAATTATTCATGCTGTCATTGAAACAGTCATTGGCCCCGGGGTTCCCGTAAATCTTCGCCCCTGGGCAGATTTAAGAGAGCACCGGCCGCACTTTCGCGGCATGCGAAACGAAACTGTGTTTTGAATAAATGTACGTGTCACGTTTCCTCGTGCAGGCCGCGTGACCGTTTCGGGCCGACAGAGAAAAAGATCGAACAGAGAAACTGAACAGAGGACAGAGAGAGGGAGAGAGAGAGAGAGAGAGAGAGAGACAGAGACAAAGAGACAGAGACAGAACGAGAGTGGGAGAGGGAGAGGAACCGCGCCGATGAAATTGCTGTTGAACATGCGTCGCACAGCGCATACCTATTTTATGGATTAATTGCACACCTCCACAGCGACCGGTGTGGCCGGTCGACCGACGACAAATCCGTGGACGAGATGAACATGAACGTGGGACGAGGAAAAATATATGTACATACATATCCGCGCGCATACATACATGCTTGGCACTTTTGCGGCCACCGGAAAACCGGCCGCGATATTTTTCACGGGATTTCATCGATCGGCCGGAACCTGTAAATACGTAAATATCCGCTAAATAATATTTGCAGCACGTCGGAAATACCGGCGACGTTGAAGAGCCTGTTATCCTCCCTCCTTCGCCGGATGCTTCCGTCGTAAACAATGCTCATCCGCGATCATTATAAGCACTCGAGCCTGCTGCTTGTAACTCCATTACGTTCTTCGAACGAATGATTTCTTCCGAATTAATTAACGGACCGGAAAGATTTTTCTGCGAACGAATTGCCGAACGACGAATTGCGACGATCGATTGCGTGGGAAAAGCATCGCGGAAAGAAGCGCCGCCGTTCGTTCGAGGCGCGCTCGTTATAATCGATAAAGGCGCGCGACGCCGGCCGATGGGAATGAGTAATTACATCGAATGTTTGTAATTACCGTGTAACGCCGAAAATACTGCTGGAAGTATCGGAATCTATTACACAGCCGGACCTCTCTATAAACGTCCCATGAAATTAACAAGCAATTAAACCGCGATCGAGCGGCCCGGAATGACACGCGTCGAACGGGCCCGACCAATCGAGTCGAACGTCAATGGATCCCCATACATTGATTTTATTCGGAGACACATGCACGCGACACTTACTGCGCTATACCCGGCACCGGTAACGAGCTTGATTCAAAGGATCATTTGAACAAATCACGGTCAATTGTCGGGCGCAGGAATATCACTTATTTCGAATCAACGTGGATCAGGACTTCTGGAATTGTTTAACGAGCTACATGTGCCGCGTCGCTTGACAAACCTGAATCAAAGTAATCACCCGGGCCCCGGTGATATAACAAAGTTGCGATTGTCGGGGAACGATTCTATTAGCGGCTCTTGACTGCGTGAATCGAGCGTGCGTGCTCCATACGAGAATAGCGCGGGATTAAAGTAGAGAATACGTGGCTGAAATGCTCTTGTTACGGCTAAGTAGAAGCGGCAGGAAGTGGTCAGACGTTGGTAGAAATCGTGATGCTTCAACGTGGATTCACTAACCGTCGAATCATCGATTCTTTTATGTTTTGTTCACATTATTGTTGATCTTTATTATCCAAAAACGTGAGATACTAGCGTTAAGTAGAAACGGCTGGAAATGACCAGACACCGGTGGAAATTCGAATTCCTTAGTTTCAAAGTTCAACCGGTCGATATACTTCAGTCTCGGTATCGTTTATTCGAACGCTGTCAATAATTATCCGTAGCATGCAAATAGAAGATAATTTTGCAGAACGGTAAGTATGAAAATTAGACCAACGCATTTGCAGATGATGCGTATTCACGAGGCGTTTCATCTCGCGACGCATTAATTAGTATCAGACGTCCGATGGTCTAGCCGGGAAAATGATCAAACACGGGGGTCCATCTATCAGATGATCGGTAGAGATGGTAGCCCGGGTACACAGGAGCCCCAATGGCGTCGCATGAAATTGTGTAGACGCTGCGGTCGCCGCAGGCATCATGGAGGATACGATTAACTCTGAAAGCTAATTAATATCTTCGCAGCCCGGGTGCACGCATTTCGCCTTTCAATTAAAGCGAAGCCCGGTGTTTGTCCATGCGCATATTTATGCGTGCGATCGACACGCACTCGTGCGCGGTCGCGCGCGTGTACGTGACGCGAAACAAACGATCAAATTAATCACCGCCGCCCCCACTCCTCGATATACTAAATTAAACCTCTCTATCGATTCGATCCCGTCGTCTTACTCTGCTTCCTTCCCGCGTTATGCGATCGATCATCTTGTGTCAGTCGGTCGCATCGCACAATCGGCGTTGACCGTTACGCTACTCTTATCGCGATTTCCGGCCGATAAATTGATGTGCCATATATTATACATATTTCGATGCTCTCGATTTGTGGTACACAAAATGAGCGTTCAATGTTTTGGTAATTTTCTTGTGCTCGTGATATTGCTAAAACTTGTGCACTGTTTAAGAGCAGAGTACAATGAGAAAGTATAATCGAAGAAATATTCGTAGACTTAATTATTTGTTGAATACAGGTGATATAAAGTTATAGGTGATATCAGAGGTATAAATAATTCAAAGAAAGTACCAGTGCCTTCTTTGTACTATATTTAAGCTGTCGTAAGTAGTTTAAAGATGCCGGCGGTAAAGAGGAATATCGTATTATAAATCGCCTAATCAAGAAATAAATAGCCAACCACAGTAATTTCTCTCGCATTGTCTCTCGGAAACAAAAATGGACAACTTGGTAAGAGAGGACTTTAAAACCTCATTTTTATAGTTACCTGTCCCGAAGCTTACGATCCTATTCATCGCGTGCTTCAGAGACGCACCACCTAGGAATCACCTTTCCTTCTGAATTACGCGAGAGAAGGCAGGTTACAAGTACCGAGGACGTTCCTATTATCTTGTTGCGCAACAGTGTCCCAAGCACGGTATAAAATTTCCTCACGGCTGAGGAAATGAAAGCAAACTCGTTCCGTTTCTTTTTTCATTCGTCGCCAAGAGAGCAAGAGAAGGCGAGAGAGAGGAATGGAAAGAGAGAAGGCGATTAAGAGAACGCCGGCGATGCGACGAGGAAATTTCAGGTCGCTGGTAACGCGAGCTGAATCACTCCCGCGGGGACAAATATCGCCCGCAATAATCGATCGGAAGCCTTGGGAGAAGTTCGTGCTTCCGCGGGTAGCGGCGATAGCGGCGAGACGGCAGACATATTGTCCAATACGGTAAGTAATAGGCAATTCCGATAACAAATAAGTTGTTGCGGCAATATCGTTAGTCAAAGTCTTCCGGCGTGCTATCCCGAGATAAAATGACACCCACGGCCGTGATCAGTCATCCAAGCTCATCGCCGCCGAGGCTCGTAAAACGCGGCGACCGGTCTAAGGAAATTTTAGCACCCCCTGCGAAATTAATTCGCCGCACAAATCACTGCACTCTTGAATCTCTCTAGGGCGCGGACGGCAACGGTTCCCGCGCTCGAAGGATACTTTCGTCTAGCAGAAATTTCTGTCAATCTTTGCGAAGAACTTTCGACCTGTCTTCGATCAAATTCTGTGCTCGCCTTCGATATTTTTAATGTCGAGTTCGCCTCGACGTAACATTTGTATTCGTGACTTCGTCACTATTGCCTTGTCGTTCGGATGAGTAAACGAAAATTATAGTGTATTCTATATTATAATATAGAATATATAGTATATATTCAGGATATATAATAAATATCATGTT